TTTCATATGTAATTTTCAGGAAGTCAGACAAAACCCTCATGCCATTGACAAGGACTGTCCACTGGCATAGTGAGCACAGGGAACTGGGTCACACAAAAATACTTTATTATGTCAGTATTGAATCTGTCAGCAAGCTTTAAACTGGCATAAGAGTAATTCTAGGGTTGCCAGCTCCAGGCTGGGAAATTTGTGGAGATATAGGGGTGGAATCTGGGAAAGGAGGGGTTTGGGGAGGGGAGGGACCTCAATGGGGTACAATATCATAGAGCCCAGCCTCCAACCAGCCGTTTCCTCCAGATCAGTTGTAATTACAGGAGATCTCCAGGCCCCACCTAGAGGTTGGCAACCCTACGTCATTCCTTCTCACTAGAGAAACATGGGAACAGAAGTTTTGTGAGTGGATCTAGTTATCTCAACAGTGAATTCTCCGTGTCCCCATCTACTTAATAATACCTAGAAATCACTAGAGGTAGCTATGTCAGTTAAACTGACATAACCCCAACCTATATCCTGTAGTGTAATAGCAACAGTGAGAATAGAACTACATTTCCCAGCAGCACCTGCTGCTTTACCGTGAACAGTTTGCCCTTTCTCTGAGGAAGAAGTAGCTGCAAAAAGGAGGGAAATACATCAATAACTGCTGGAGCAGGCCTAGGAGAGGTGATATAATACTTGTGGGGATACTGAAGACTAGTGTGAAAGAACATTTTCAACAGATTTAAATCAAAGGTAGATACAAATTGAATGAATTAGGAAAATTCTAGGGCAGGGTTGTGCAGAAGATTACTTAAGAGTGACCCTTCACTCTCTAAGCAAGCAGCTCTCCAACAATATTCCAGTGCTGCAATAATCACTTCCTTATCCTTCTCTTTAAAGCTACTACAGCAGCATCCCTGCTCTGTGTTTAATGCGAAGAAGGCTGCAAAACCTTTGCTCAATATGTGTTTATTTGCAAAATATATATCCTGCCTTTCTGCCATTACAAGTGTACACCAGGTGGCTATAGGAAAATGAAAGCACCTTTATAATCGGATTATGCTCTTCTTCCTCCAGACACATGCACACATCCTTGCTCTGGGCATGCAAGCAGCATGCTATTGATTCTTCCCCTTTATCAAATCTGCTATTTGCCTCTTTCAGGGAAAACACAGAGGGAACTATATTTTCGACTCCCACAGGGCAAATTATAATTGGGGGAGGCGGTAGCAGTTTGCTTTGGGAAAACAGCAAGGAAAATTTTCCCCACCCAAGCACTGCAGAACTGTTCCGAAACCGAAACACTCTAATTTTGTATAAGATACTACTTTGAGGCTGGCTCCATCCACTGAGCCACCATTTTGTGACTGGCAGCTTGCAAGGCTTTTGAAAAAAATTAAATAGTTCCCTGCACACATATAGTCTGCCCTACCTGAAGTGTCTATTTCTAAAGCCTGGTTAAAGACTTTGATTATTACAATGGAATCTGGCTATCATTTACCAACCCTTGATGGGAACTTTCCTTTTTTTACATATCCTAACTCCTGATGTCTGCCATGTTTCGGGGTGGTTGCTGGAATCCACGGGGTTAGTATAGAGCTTGCTGACACTCAGCTCCCTTCAGAATTTGCCTGCACTCCTGCAGGCATATTGATTTATACTCCCATTACAGGAGTGTATACAGCAGAGGTGTCAAACTCATTTGTTATGAGGGCTGGATCTGACATATATGTAATTTTGTTGGGCTGGTAAACAAATATAAAGCCAACAGTCGTGATAGTCTGACCCGCAATCAACAGTCATAAGACTTATAAGGAATGCTGTACATGTATTGTGCTCTGAAGCATTACAATATGATACACAACTTAATAGAATTTATAAACCAAGATACAACGTCGTCAACGTCGTCTCCGGATTATTTACCAACGTTTCAAAAAATAAATCTTCTCTAGGAGATATTATAGAGGTGCCAAAGCTCTCATTTTCATAAAAGTTAGACAACAAGTCTTAAGCATATACACAATTCAGATAGGATGCTGATCTCAATTAACACGCAGTGTTTTTTCTGGATCCTGGGCGTCTCTCTGGGCGTTTGGAGAGACCTCGCCTTGAAACCCCAAGTCAGCATAAATGTGGCTGTGGTTGTCTCCAGTTTACCAGTGAGCCTTCTGCTGGAGTGATGGGGTTCTGCTTGACTGCTGTAGACAAGGTTGTTCTGCCATGCTGACACCATGATCGGAGTGGCTTCGTCTGCTCGCCCCCACGAGCAGCCTCTTGTTCCCTCCTTCACACCAGTTGCTCACAGCCTGGACAGGAGTCCTGGACAGGCTGGTTCTGGCCCACAGGCTGCATGTTTGACACCTCTGGTATACAGGGCACGAGAATGCAGATTATTTCTAGCTGAACTGTGACACCTGAAACTACAGGGAATGTCAGAGCACCATGCTGCTGGAGAAACTCTGCAGTCTGTATTCATCATGCTAGTTTCTGGTTACTTTATGTTACTGGAGAGCTTTCCTCCTCTTACTTAGGTAAATAGCAGAATAACCAATGATTAATGGAGCTCACTGCCCCTGTTACTTGCCTGAAACCCCACCCAGTTGGGGGGGTCCCCTGCTGCCAGGGCCTGCCCCCTAACTGCCAATCAGCTGGCCAGCAGGGGGACAACCTGGAGAAAGAGAAAGGCCCAGGCCTCGTGGCCAGCGTCACACAGGAAGTGATGTCATCATGCCAGCAACATCCAGGTGACACTGTTATTTGGGCAAAAACTCTATGGTAGAAGCTGGTTTTACCATAGAGTTTTTGTCCAAATACCAGTGTCACCTGGACATTGGTGGTGCGATGATGTCACATCAGCCATGAGGCCTAGGACTTTCTCTTTGTCCAGGTAAGTCTCCCCCATCCCCTGCCGGTTGCCAGGAGGGACCTGACAACCCTATAAAGATATCTGAAAATAAATACTTTAAATGGAATAAAAGATCAAAGACAAAATCAACATAGGCCCCTGCCACACGGCAGGGGAAAAGCCTCTTAATGCGCGGCTTTTAAAAGCTGCGCCAACGTTGAGACGCCGTGGCGGGATCCCACGGATCCCCTGGCCGTGGCGCCTTTTCTCCCCGGCGCGATCAAACGCCGGGGAGAAAACACAGGTCAGACGCCTAGCCGGCCAAACTGCGCATGTCGGAGCATGCGCAGTTCAGATCCGGGCCGGGGTTGTGCCGGCGCAAGGACGCGCCGGCGATCAAACGCCCCGCTTGCTGCGCCGCGTCCATTTGTGCGGATTTGTGCGGGGAAGGGACAGTTCGGGCACGGAAGCAAGACGCTTCCCAGATGTTGTGGTGTGATGGCTCCGGTTTGATCCGGCCCCGAACTGTCCCGCTCCCGGCCCAAATCGCCTAGTGTGAACGGGACCATAGTGAGCTAAAGAGAGGGCAAATATGATCATACTGATGAGCAGAGTTGATTAAGTGAACTGAAAAATTCAACATAGGAAGTAGACCAAGTAAGAAAGAGGTGTGACATTGAAAATAAGGTTTATAGTTTCCAGATGAAAGAGTGGATTTTGTATATGTTACTACAAAGCTGAAAGACACACTATGGAATGCTAGACTAGATGGACTTTGGTCCAATTCAGCAAAACATGTTTTTCATATGTTTGATCCATTTTCATGTCTTCATTTTTAACCACATGTCATTGATTTATCTATTTTATGTTACTCAAAGTTTGATTTCCAATTAATGAGAACATTAAGTATTTATTTTTCTCAGCCCATTATGATAGAGTAATGGTAACCTAGTGAGTGACACAATTCCCTGCAATCTGGTTTATTTGTCAGCAGTTTGAGGAGAGGATCAGTCGTTACATGGAAATGGTGGGACTGAAAGCATGAGTGACTTGTTCCTTTATTTTGCATCCTATGTATAACATCTGAAGCAGGACCTGTCACATCTTCTCCTGTGAAGTGTTATGTGAGCTGCACCCACATCTGGGACACGTACATTTCTTCACAGAGTGACGCTGAAAACATGAAAATAATATAAATAAGTAGCATTTCCACTCTTCCTGCTTCTGTGGTCTATACAAATCAGCCCTTAGTGGACATAATATCAAATAGAAATGGAAACTGGCTTATTTACTAAAATGCTTACACCCTACTTTTTCAGTCATGAAGACCCAAAGTGGCTGACATTAATAAAACCAATTAAAATACAGTCACAACTGTCTGGACAATCACAAATATTAGAACTAGCAAAATGGAAACCAGCAAGCCTAGTCCGTAAAACTAACACTCAGTTTAGCAGGATTAAAAACATGAGGTCAGATATTAACTGAAAGCCGATTAAAGACCCACTTAGACTGAATAGTCTTAACCACTTACAGAAAACAAGGACTGTGCTAAACAAGTCTTAGGCAGGATGCTCTTATATCTACGCCTGATCCAATCAGTTGTCAACAGGTTGACTGGCAGAGGCACAAAATATGTAGCTCTTCGTACTTTCTTTTACTTACACTCATGTGCTGAGATCCCAAGTAGAATGAATACTGAAAAGATGTGTCAGAGTTCTCTCAGCCCCACCCACCTCACAGGGTGTCTGTTGTGGGGAGGGGAAGGGAGAGGAGTTTGTAAGCCGCTCTGAGACTCCAAGTGAAGGGCGGGGTATAAATCCAATCTCTTCTCTTCTTCTTCTTCTTCAAAAGAGTAAATTTATATAATCCTATTGGAAACCTCATGCTGTTTTACAACGCTGTTATTCTAGATGTCTGAACAAATCTCACAGACACATTTTCCTTAGTTATGCGGGAGAAGTTACAAACCGTGATCAGCTCAAATGCTCCCCTAAGACTTCTGCCTTTCCTGGGACGAGTAAAAGAAGTTTGGAGGCTTGGAGAATATCTGCTGCACTGCTTACTCATAAGTAGTAGGCTTCTCTCCTCCCCTTTTGCTCAGTCACTTTTGCTTCGGCATGGGTGTGACTTTTGATTCCGCTCCCCTCCCTGGTGTGTCACTACTTCAGTCTCTTTGAATTGGAATAAAAACTGCAGCAAACTTCAGAGGCTCCGTTTCTGTGCAGATTTAACAAGACCTGGGACCTTTTCTCCTCCCGCCCCTCCAGCTTTTCCTTTGTGCAGCCTGAGAGAGGAACTCCTTGCCTTGTGCACATTTTCCCGAGGAAGAAACAATGGCCAAATTCTGGTTGTCTGCAGCTGTTGGATTGTACTTGTTGCAGCTTTGTCTGGCCCAGATAAGTAAGTGCCTTATGAATGAAATCTCTGATGCTGGCTGATAGCTTCTAATGTCTCAGGTAGCAAAATTTACCCAGATTGCCAGGTAGCACCTTGAATTACGAGAATGCTGCATTTCACTGATATTTTGTTTGTTACTTTCTTGAGTGATGATACTGAAACAGAACCTGTGTATTTTGCACAAACTCTGCGTGTGTGTATGTGTGTGTGCTTTAAAGAAGTACAGAAGCTAGTCAAACTGAAAGTAGGCAGTTTGAATTTAAAGTTGTATTTTACTGCAGCGTGACACAGAACTGAGATTCAGCACATCTGGTCTGTGTTCAGTAGTTGAAACGACAGTTATGTATTTATTTTTACTTCGTTTTGTGAACCAGGCAGTTCGGGGGGGGGGGGGGGGTCTTTGATTTACAGTAGCTTTATTCTTGAGTTCACGCATGCTGCAGAAGAAGTTGTATTATTTTACACAGAGTAGTGATGCAGGATCCAGCACGCGCCACTTTCCTTCTCCAAGCTAGGAACAAAGTCTGGAGAGTTTGAGGTCGAAAACTAAGTGGTGCTTGGTAGTGTAAAAGCTTTCCTTGAGCATAACTGATGAGATTTAGAAGCAAACTTTAACCCGGTGTGACTGGAACGAGCAACTCGTTTCCCCATAATCTCCCCCCCCCCCCCCCCCCCCAGATGTCCCCCTCACAATATGAGGTAAGATTCTTGTTTAGGAATGAAAATGGTTCATGTGTTTAAGAAAATCACATGCTCAAAATGACAAAATACTTTTAAAGTTTGATGTGATACAGAACAAGCAGTACTTGCAGGGAAATAACTGTCTTTAACAGAGACCCATTGTAGTAGAAATTGCCTTGAGCTGCTTTGAAGGAAATCTATTATCCTTTCACACACAACCCCCCCCAAACCAGTTCCTGGGAGGCTAACAAAACATTTTTTCATAAACATCGTCTTCTCTGTGCTTTAATATTTATATGAATATCAAGAAATACTTGAAGTTACCTGGATCTGTACATGGGTGTGTCAGAGTGCACAGCTCCAAACACGTTTAGGAATCCTCTGAAACTTTTCCTAGCATTTGGAATATTTCGCCAATGATTCTGTGTTCATTAAAAAAAAACCCCACAACTAAATGCTTGGGTATACATTTACAGAGTTGTTTTTGCTCTGTGTGAGATGTATGAAGTGTGACTAAAATTATGTGACAGACTTAATTCATGATGTACATACATATATAGTAGAATAATAATGCTGCTTATTAGTTACCCTTGCTCAGCTAATATCTCCTTTTATGAACTGCCAAATATTCTATAAATAAGCACAACCCGCAATTACTCTAGGCATAACGTTTTCCTCATAAGAAAGAAAAGGAAAACCCCCGTAATCTAGTCCTCTGTGTGGTTAGGAAAAACATGTCAGACTTCACGTCTGCCTCACAGAAAAGTTTCATTAGGAGCTTAGTAGGGAATTAGATTATGGCTACAGTATATTTCAGTTGGTATGCAGCACATTCCAGTCAAGCTTTGTAGTCACAAATGGCTTTGCAACTGCACTTCATTTCCACCCTCCTTAATAGCCTTTTTAATTCAGACTGCAAACAATTAATAGGTTTTTTACACCCAGAGAGAATGTGGGCTGCTTGTGGTATACACACATCCCACTTCCTTTTCTGGTAAAGAGGTTCTGCAGGTTTTTAACAGTGCTTCAAAAACCTGCAGCTCTCACCAAAAGTGCCAGTGCCAGTGGGAGAAATGAAGTATCTTTGTACACAGTCCGTCTCAGATAGGGTTGCCAGCTCTGGGTTGGGAAATACGTGGAGATTTTTAGGGGTGGGGCCTGGGGAGTGTGGAGTTTGGGGAGGGGAGGGACCTCAGCAGGATACAGCCCACCTTCCAAAGCAGCCATTTTCTCCAGGGGAACTGATTTGTATTGTCTACAGACCAGTTGTAATTCTGGGAGATTTCTAGTCATCACCTGGAGGTTGGCAACCCTAATCTCAGACCGCTTTCAACTCTGTTCAAGATCGTCTATCTCCAGCTCTGTATATTCACAGAAACAGGCATTTCTACAAACAGCACAGGTGGTTATTCTTGACCATTTGTATAATGTATAGTCTACCCAGGATGGTGGGATATAGAATGCTGGACTTGGATCAGTGAGACTCAGGGCGATTCTGCATCTAGCTTTCACTCCACATTTCCTTAACTGGGAGGAAAAAGTGCAGCTCAAAACCACATTCAAATACTTCAGGACAACACCGTACTGACTGCAAAGTCACCCCTGAACGGCCATAAATCAATGCAGAAGGTACCATGAAATCCGATGATCAAAGAAAGCAAAAGCAGCATGCAATGCAGAGGGGAATTTCTGGTCCAACATGGATTTCGTAAAACAACAGAAGGAAAAACGAATGCAGAATCAGCCTCAGGTACAAATGCCTGCTCAGCTTACTAGGTGGCCAATGGAGATAGTAACTTTTTGTTTTCATAACCTGTTTCAGGTTAGTGTTTCAGGATAAAATGGATAAGGAGGAAAACCATGTTGCCATCCAAAGGTACAGGAAGAAAGGAAGGGGAAAAAATCTGCCAGATAAAATGGGCTCCATAGTAGATGAGTATGATTCAAATAGAACAAATAAATAAGGAACATAATACAGGCCCTGTTCACACGAGACGTTTTGGGCCGGGAGAGGGACGGATCGGGGCTGCAGCAAACGGGCGCGATCCCACAGCAACATCTGGGAATCGTGCTGCGCCTGTTCCCAGCCGGTTCCCAATCCGCCCCTCCCGGCCAAACCCCGCAGCAAAATAGAACCCCCTACCTAGGTGGTTCTTTCCGAAAGGCCGCATCACTGCCGGCCGTGGGATCGCCGGCACATCTTTTCGCCGGCGCATCCCTGGCCCCCGGCCGTACTGCGCATGCTCGAGCATGCGCAGTACGGCCGGGGGCCAGGGATGCGCCGGCGAAAAGATGTGCCGGCGATCCCACAGCCGGCAGTGATGCGGCCCTTCAGAAAGAACCACCTACCTGCAGGTTTTGGCCGGGAGGTGCAGATTGGGAACGAGCAGGGGCCACAGTCTTCTTCCAGTAGCCATGTGATGTAGGACAATATTCTTCCTATTTTGCAAAGGGTAGCATTGTTAGAGTAGCAGTTTAGAAGTAACAGATTGTACAAAGCCATGCAAAAAGCAATGGCCAGGCAATGTTTTGAACCTCAGTCTCCCAAATACCTACTGTTCCATAATATCTCTGAGATGCATCAGATAAATTCAGGTCCGGGCAGATACTGAGTTGTCAATAAAATAGCATGTTCGGTGTAATAAATACTGTTTCTTAGAAGCCATTCTTATGTTACCAGAAGTGGTATGGGAGGAGTTACAGCACGGCTACTCTAGTGCTGTTCCTGGTAATGTTTGTAGGAACCAGATCATGTAGGCACAGCTGGCAATATCATTACTTCCCACAACATTATTACTTTGCTCTGGGGACCAGTGACATCTGTGGGAGCAGTAACCACGTCACTTGGCCTGTCTCCTTGATCCCCTTCCTTCAGATAATTCTGGAGTCCTGCCTCAGCGACTCCTACACTGCTGCTAGTCATGTATGGACTGATTTTTATTCTCTACCTCCCACAAATGACTTGTCACATTGAGTATTGAGCAGTAATATCCTAATTTATATGTGTGATTCCAAACTTGTCTAAGGGACATATAACTGGGAGAGATGAGAATGCCAGAAAAACAGGAGATACAACCAAAGTCTCTAACGCTGAAGAAGCAGTTACATTTGAATAATTTATGTTTGGAAATTTATGTTTGAGCCGGAACTTAACAAAAACCCACATTTCTTTGAGGACTCTCATGTGTCACGTTAGGGAGGCTGGCAGTGGGAAGTCCAACCTAACTTGGGTTGGGAGCACTTTTGGGCTGTTCAGTCACACTCAGTTCAAGAGATCAATGAAGGGGGTTGAGTGGGCTTAACTGTTCCATTTACCTCCTTTCCAGTATGCAAAGCTGCCAATACACTGTGGTTGGGGGAGATGAGATTTTTCTAAATTACAATATTAATATTACAGAGCATCATAGCTGTAGCAAAGGAAGCACTGAAGATCAGCAGCACAGAAGGCAAAAAAGAAAAACAAAACCTCAGCGTAGGCCAACTGAGTCAAAGGCAGATGGCGGACCCTGGTGCTTCCTCCACCCCACTCCCAGTGTTGCATGCCATGGACTGCCCTGATAGACTGGCTGGCTCTCCTTTTCCATGGGCTGCAGCAAACCCTTTTCCTTCCCCATCACCACTATGAGGGATTGGGTCCAGAATGGCTTTGCTGGCAGATGTGTAAATAAAAGAGCTGACACTTTTAGCTGGGATAATTCAAGGGCCAACTTTTTAATTTTACATCACTTAAAGGATCTGCAGCACCAGTGTGCCAACCCCTTCTGTACCTACTTGTAGTGCGGGACAGTAGTGGGACCTAGAAGAGTCAGGTCTCCTCTGTCTGCTCCTTCCAGACTTTATGGGCAAGGACTGCCTGGCTTCAAGCTCTGAACTCTCAATTGTATATGGCTCAATCTCCATGTCCTTTCCTCCTAGCTGTGAGGCCTATGGGTTAAGGATAATGGCATCCCTCAAGGGCTTGCTGTTCCAGTTCCATGAAGGCCTGGAGTGAACAAAAGGGTGTGTGTGTGGAGGCACACAGTGCATTCTTAAGTGTGCTTCTTCTGCCCCACTCCCAACACTGCATGCCAAGGACTGCCCTGTCTAGTTGGCTGGGTCTTTCTGCAGCAAACCCTGCCTCTTCCCCCATCACCTCTGTGTAGGATTGGGTCTGGAACAGCCTTTTAGGGAAAAAGCATTAAGAGTGGCAACATGTAGGTATTATATCCGTGGAAAATAGGGTTAAGAAAAGTTAGCAATGGAGAATAGCAGCGAGGAATATTGGTGGGGGTTTTTTTGGGGGGGGGGAAGCAGAGACGTTGTAGAAATGTGATCTTTTAAAT